GCACACGCCGCCTGTACCCTGAAGAGAATCATCAGAGGATTGGGTAAATTGAGTCACAAGCAAGCAGCAACACTCACAGGACTCAGGGTCGAAAGTATCACCGACCCAACAGGCAACGTGGCAGAGGCAAAAACAATGAGGGTCACCCTGAGACAAGGGGACCGAGCAACCCTCAAACTCGCACACAGCGAGTGGGGACTCCAGGGTCACATCCATCGAACCCACGCACCCCTTAGGGGATTCCCAGGGTCCTGAGCGTTTACTTTAAGAGGACTCGCGCTCAGGTAGTCCCAGGCAGGGTGCTGCAAACCAACGCCCAAAACTACCAAGCGAACTTCTATAGCTGAACCCCAGGGACGTGTACACTCACGGGGACCTAGCAGGGGGTGCCACCGAGGAGAACAGTGGAAGGGCAAAAACAAACTGAATAAAATGACAGAACCCCCCACCAGGCAAAAACAAAAAGAAAAACAAAACCCCGCAAGAGGACAGCGAACCCCAAGGAACAGAGCCGGCCGCTATGTCGGGAATGCAAGCTGTGCAGCACCCTGCGCCCCTACCAGTGCAAACTGCCTCTTACCTGCCGGTAATAAGGGAGAACAGAACACCCAAGAGCCCAACAGGCAGCCGAAAAACCGAAAGGTAAAACAGACCAGCAGAGGCAGACCCCGAGGAGCCTGTGGAAGGTGGCCCCAAGGACAGTACTTACAGGGCACCTAGGGAAGGCAGCCCTAGGCGCATGCAGCCCGAGTACTGAAGATAACTCCTGGCTCTCGCACCCACAAAACCAACACCACACGCAAAGCACAGTGCAGTAGCGACACCGGAGCCAGAGCACACGACCATCGCCTATAGCATCAGCCTCAAGAACTGAGGTGTGGGTAGCCGGCGTGGAGGGTCTGGGGCTCCCCCTTCCCCCTCCCGGGGAGGGGGGAGCTGCGCAGACAGCGGCGTGGCGGCGTGTGATGTCACACTAGTTTGCTTGTTTTCTGTTGGGGAGTTCTATCCACTAGTTCGGCTTTTGGTAGCAAATTTTAACCAGAATAGGGGTTTGTTTTGAGGCACTTACCTTTCTGGGTGCCTGTTCCGGTCGATGGCAGACATAGAATGCTTCCAACCACACGGGGGCTTCTATAGGCCATTGCTCCCCTTGCCTCTCTGAGGGAGCCCGGTTCTGGCTGTGGTCCCCGGTAGGCCTAAGAACTCCATACACATGACTGATGCCAAAGTCTGACATTAGCATATCAGCCTGGGATAGCTCCGGGGAGTCGACGGGGCTCCCCCCAGAAATAAGGTACTAAATCTAAAGGAATTTTGTAAATAAATCAGTACTTTCTGATCACAACATTTCTGCACAAATGCCAATAATTATAAATGCCCTTCAAAGTACAATAATTTAATTTTGCAACAGATGTTTAACAAAATGTTTTATACTGTACCTCAATAGCAAGTGACTCATTTTATTATTAGAAACATCTATACTATAGTACTACATTTTGAAACCTAATAAAAATATTTCATACACAAAATGCTTTCTTATTTTCATGTTACATTAATCATCATTCTACTTTTTCAAATCCTCATATATGTTTACTCCTTAATTTAACACTTTAGTTCGGTAACGATGCAGCATTGCGTCGCCAATTTAGTAGATGGACTTCCGGTAACGACACAGCATTGAATCGGCGGCGGCGGCTTCGGGAGGGGAGCGCAGCGGTTTTGGACATTGTATGCATATACTGTACTCCTGTAGGGAATTTCATTGTGAATACATTGATACCAAAATGAAAGACCTAGGACCAGAATTGAGGTAACAAAGTTGAAAAGAGTATACCCATTTTATTAGCCCTCACTGGGGTTACTCTCCATCACTTTCTCTGTTTGCTGTGGGTGGTACGCCAGGCTTTTGGACTTTATATTTGCATATACTCCTGTAGGGAATTCTGTTGCGAACACAATGATACCAAAATGAAAGATTTAGAACGAAATTGAGATGTCCAAAGTGAAGAGAGTGTACACATTTTATTGTTCTTGTGGGCTCCCGGGTAACACGCTCTCACTTTCTTGCTGGGCTTTTGGGCTTTATATGCATTTAGTCCTGTAGAGAATTCTATTGCGAACACATTGATACCAAATTGAAAAACCTAGGATGATAATTGAGATGACAAAGTGGAAAAGAGTATATACTTTTCAGTATTACCGCGCTCTCTAATGTAATGAGAGGCGCCTTGGGGTGGCGCAGTTCTCTCTTTCTGGTCCACTTTCATCTTGTTGGCGGGTGGAGTGTGCTGCGGTTTTTGACATTATATGCATATACTCCTGTTGTGAATTCTATTGTGAACACATTGATACCAAAATGAAAGACCTAGGACGAGAATTGAGGTGACCAAAGTGAAAAGAGTGAACACATTTTATCGCTCTTGCGCGCTGCTGGGTTGCACGCTCTCATTTTCTCTGTTTGTTGCGGATGGTACGCTGGGCTTTTGGACTTTATATGCCTTTAGTCCTGTAGGGAATTCTATTGCGAACACAATGATACCAAATTGAAAAATCTTGGACGAGAATTGAGGTGACAAAGAAAAGAGTTTTGAAAAGAGAAAGAGAAAATACTTCAGAATTACCGAGCGCTCCCGTGAAACACTGAAACCCACCTGGGGTAGTGCGAGGCTCGCGCATGCAGTGAGCCAAAGTATTAACATCTGTTAAAGCACAGTACAGTACTGCATTTAGTGTTTATATTATCTTTTAAGCCTCTGTTCAAAATTTGCATTTAATAGCAGCATTTCCCCACCTTGTCATATTCTTTCCAACTTGTTTGATTATTGCATTTACTGAGAAATACTATACATATGGGTCCTGCTGTGCTTGGCTCACCAGCCAAATTGTGAGCCAAGTTGTGAGCAAAGGACCTATGTCCTTTGCTCACAACCATGGATCCTGGGTTTAATCCATGAGTGAGACAGTTGGGCACGTTTCCTTTGACCTGAAGCCTCTGTTTACCTAGCAGTAAATATGTACTTGGGAGATAGGCAACTATTATGGACTGCTGGGAAAGGTCATCAGTAGTTTGTCCTGGGAAGGGGTGGAGGGGAGGGAGAGAACCTCAATACATCAAGAGCTCTCATGTCCCTTGAATTTGGAAAATCAAATGTGAACAAGTTGATCATCACCAAAACTGCTATTTCTCACTTTTATAACGTGAGGAGGCACCCACTAAGGAGGGATGAAAAGATATTATAAGAGTAAAAATTATTTGGCTTAGCCCGACTTTTCACAGGTAGAATAAGGGTAAAGTAAATCTTATTCAATCACACAAAACATACATTCGTTGCAACGTTTCAGCTTTTATCATAATCTAGGAGTTTCAAAACATGCCACAAACATATCTACCACAAATCCCATCATATCCACAGAGGTCAGCCCCACAACGTAATGGAGAAAGAGGCTTTTGGGCCAGTTTCTATCATTTAATTATTTTGGTGAATATGTTTACTTTCACCCTAATGGAATTCTTTCATTTCTACCTTCCCTATGGTCACACTCATCTATGCACAAAAATAAAACAAATTCCAAAAAATAATTTTACATTATGGAATTATTAATTTGTATGCAGAAAATAAGAAAAACACGAAAATAAGTGAATATTTATCGTTTCACTGGGTGGAGGCACTCTGTAAGTCTGCATCTGGCACTTGCCAACGCCTAGTGCTTGACTTTGCCGACGCAAAGTCAAAGTCCTCGTGCCAGTGATGTTCGGGAGTATGCCGATCTTTCGGCTGTCTTTGGACAGTTTTCAGACTTGGGGGTTTTGGGAGTCGGTCACGGTCCTGGCCGCCAGGTCTCTCATGACCGTCCTAGATCCTCTGCGACTTTGTGCTGTTTTGAGGCTTCTGAAGCAGAAGGCTGTCTTGTCAGGTTGCGATCTGCGGAGCTGCCGCCACCCAGGTTCTTCCCCATTTTCCTTCCTTGTGGGTTTAGGAAGCCTGTAAGCTTTAGGAAGCTTACAGGATTCCCCACAGAAAACCAGCCTCTGACTGCAATGAAATGCCAGTTTCAGGGTGAACCCTGGAGGCTCCTTGACAATACTCACTTCCCCCCTCCCCCCCTTCCCTGGGGTGGAGCTAATGAGCGGGGAGTTAATTGGAAAAAGTTTTGCTTGTTTGCTTGTGTTCTTGGGGAGTTCTATTGTACTTGTGAGGAAGTAGGTCATACTTTCCAACCAGGCAGTAGTCTGTTTTGATTTGCCTTTTACCTGGTCAATGGTAAGATAACATTCTTTAAATGTAAAGTGTTCATGGGCCATTGCTCCCTTCACCTCTCTGAGGGGGCCAGGTTCTGGCTCATAGTCCCTGGTAGGCTTACAAGGAACTCTGTGACTGATGACACTCAAGTACTATGGCACTTCATCAGTAAGATAGCTTCAGGAAGCCTTCAGGACTCACCCAGAAACTGGCATTTCATTACATTCAACCCTAGTTATTTTCACGGGTCAAGGTAAACTCCATTACATCCACACAGACCCATTATATCCATATTTGCATCATACATGTAAAACCCAGATAATAATTTTTAAAATCTTCATACGATGATAACCACATTACCCTGTGAATCAACAATTGACGATAACTGCTGTCTAAGGGTTATATGCTATACACATATTTGTATTTAAATTTTCAATGTCCAAGAACAAACACGTCACTCATTACACTCATAGTATTTAAAAACATTCCACCATCTCTATATATGCTCATTACTTTCTACAGACCTTCCCTAGTTGCTCTGCTATATACTCTTTCAAAGTCCTTAAATATTCTTCATCACATGCTTCCTCCACTTGCCACCTAAATGCCGCTATCTGACCAACGTGTTCAAGTTGTTTCATATTTTACTAGCTATGCAAATAAAAATCTATTTTTTGTGCAAATATATTCACATTTTCTTACATAATACTGTAATTTAGTAAGAAATCCAAACCTACATTCAGGGGCTGGCAAACTCACCTCAACATATGGATAAAATCCTTTTGTTCCCAACTGCTTGAAATAATTTCCAGTATCAAAACACATCTTGTAAGTTCCTTTCACAAAGGCCTCTTGTCTGAGAAACTCTCCTGCACGCCCATTATCATTTGTAATTCTGTGAAAGAAAAATTTCAGTGACCACATATTTTTGCATATACATACTGTCTTTCAGTACTGGTCTATGAAGAACAAAGAAATACACTTTTTGTATATGATCTGGTGCAAATACACTAGTTCTTGCAGACCACATCTAGGGATCCTGGCAAAATTAACACACAGTAGTTTACAATATTATTTAAAAACAAGCATGTAAAATTAGCCATCTACCCAAATTTACCTGAGGGCAACTAACACTCGAGTAGCCTTGACAAGGACAGGAAGCAGACAGCTTGTCAAAAGTCTCACCATTTGCCCTGATGATTTTTTTCAAACTGGATTTTAAAATTTAACAGTTTTGGCATTTATGGCATTGGAGGGTAGCAGTTCAATGGGTTTATAACTTTGTAGGTGAAAAAGTATCTCCTGTTTTCAGTCCAATATTCTTCAACAAGCTTGTTAAGCTTGAAACTGCTGCTCCTTGTTTGTGCTACATCTGACCTTTTGAAAAAATTATCTGCATCAACATCCTTCAAATTGTTCAATATTTTAAGTTTCAATGAGATCCGCCCTGTCATCTCTGGTTTGCAGTGTTTTTAGCCCTGAGTCCCTTAACCATTCCTGAAACGAGAATTGACTTTGTTCTGGAATGATTTTTGTTGCTCAGTGATGTACTTTCTCCAGAGCAACTATGCTCTTCTAAAGATGAGGTCTCCATACTTGAACACAGTAACCCAAATAAGGGCACACCAGAGATTTATACAATTGGATCACTACCTTCTTTTCCTTAAAGTCAAAGGTGCGCTTGAATATTCCAAGGGTTTGGTTAGCTTTTTTTTTACCGCTGCTCCCATCTGTTGTGCAACTTTCGGTGAATGGTGGATTTTGACTACCAAGCCCTCTTCTTCATCAATCTGTTACTAGGTAATATTATTAATTTAAATGTTAATCTTAAATTTGTTGATATTAAAATGTACTTGCCAGGCTTCTGACCATTTGTGGAGTTTATACAGATCTCTTTGTAAGGCTTCAATATAATTTTCATTTCCTACTCTACCCTAAATCTTTGTGTCATTTGCAACTTTGATGATGTGCTTTGTAATATTCTCATCAGTCACTGATGTACTCACCTACTTATGCTTAAGGGGATTGAGCTTCGGTTCTTTGGTTAGATGTATATGACGAAAAGGGTTGGCCCCAAAATGGACCCCTGTGGTACCCCATTCACCACATTTCTCCAGTCAGATTCATTCCCATTTAGCAAATCCTTTGTTTTGCTCGTTTTAACCGTTGTTGTACCCATTTTTCTAATTTTCTACCATTTATTCCAAAAGCTTGTAATTTCCTTGCCAGTCTTTCATGTGATACCTTATTGAAGGCTTAGCAAAATCCACGTATATTACATCCACCAGAATTCATTTGTCCGAGTAGCTGGTTACCATTTCCAAAAATATAAGCAGGTTTCTAAGGAAGGATCTATTTTTAAACCAATGTTGCATCGATTTTACAAGATTGTTTCCCTCCCTCAGGCTTCTCTCCGTGAGTTTGCAGATGTGTGTGGTCATGTATATTGGATGGTAGTTTTCTGTTGAGCTCTTTCTGACGTTTTTTAAAATAAGAGGTGACATTTGCATATTTTTGATCTGCGGGGACTAAACTTGGTACAGAGATTTAGTGAAAAGTAGTTTTGGCAGTAGGTATAGTTCTTCTGCCAGTTTTTATTGGACTTTGGACTGAACTCCATCCACACCTGGGGCTTTTGATTTTTTTCTAATTTATTTATTTATTTATTTATATATATACAAGAAGGTACATTGGGATTGTGAGGATACATAGCATAGTAATTACATTCTTGTAAAGCCACTAGTACGTGCAGTGTTTCGGGCAGGTCCTTAATCTAAGAAACTTATAAGTAGGTAAATACTTGCAAAATTTATAAAAATGATAAGTTACATAGCATGAAAAAAATAAAAGATGAGAGAAAAATTGTAGGTATATTAAAGCGCATAGGTAGCTCAGAATGATTGCAATGACAGCTTGAATGGTAGTATAACAAAACTTAGCAGGCACAATGCAGCATATGGCTAGCACAAAAGAAGACAGCAATGAACACAATAATAAAGTTGTTTGGATTAAGTACATAAAGATTGGGAGATTGGGTAACACTAGATACAGAGCAAGTTTAAAGCTCAGTGTAAGAAACTACGAAGATGAAATTAGGTACTTTTTGTTTTTGTTTTTAAATGAAGCAAAAGTTTGACAGCTTTTCAATTCACTAGGGAGTGAGTTCCATAGACTAGGTCCCTTAATTTGCATAGTGTGTTTACACAGATTAAGTTAATTTAACACTGCTCTCCCTGATAATATTGCATGTAATAAGTATATCCCATAATTCATTCTCTTCACTTCCTTCAAACATTTGTGTAGGTGATGGGATGTAAAATATTCATTCAGGGTGTTTGCTGCCCTTTTATCATCCATTTTAACTTAGTCTCCTCTTTCAAGGGGTTATGCCAAGTCCTTTGCTTTGGTTTAACTTAATATATAGACATAAAAAGATTTTGGGTCTTTCTTTATGTTTTGGGCAAGTTTTGTTTCAGTTTGCTTTGGCTGATCTATCCTGGGTGGCTGAGTTTAGTGCCCTTTTATATACAGAATCTCATAATCAATCATGTTCATTGTGGATTTATACCTTATACAGAGGTTCTGCTTAGTTATCAATGCTTCTTTTACTGTCACCCATCTACTTCCCTTTTTCTTTTCTTTCTCCTCTTTGGCATATAAGGGTCCCAGTACTACAGTTGGGTTTCTTGTCGACACACAATCGAGAATTCTGGGTTCGCATCCCAGGCGGGACAGAAATGGTGGGGCACATTTTCTTTCACTTAATGCCTCCGTTCACCTAGCAGTGAGTAGATACTCAGGAGTTAGTCAGCTTGTTGTGGGGTTGCATCCTGGGTGGGGCCAGTAATTCAGCTTTGGGGAGGACCTCGATAAAAGCCAAACATGTATGAATACACTCTGGCTTCCTGTCTCCCAACACAATGAATTATTATCATGAATTATAACTATGAATTATATTTTTGAATGAGTAATGTAATGACCTTGAAATTTGTCCACTATGCTTCCATGCCATGATCACCTATAAGCTCCCTTCAGGTGGTGTTTTGCAGTTCCTCTCTCAATCCTTGATAAGTCTCCTTGATGGTAATCAACAAATTCATCATCATGGACCTTTATGTGGGTTACTATATTTGTAATCCATCTTAGAATATGGTTATCATATGAGGGGGGGTTAGCTTTTACCCTACCTGAATTTGATCAATCATGCCCTCTTCCGATGTTAGCACAAGATCTAGAATGCTGTTATCTCGGGTGGGCTCTACCACATGCTGTATAAGAAAGGAGTACTGTACCAGGTCTAGATATTGTTCTTCTTGTGATGTTAGATTTACCCAATCTATGGTCTCATAGTTAAAAGTCCCCCCCATTATTATGGCTTGGGTTTCTGAAGCCGCATTGATTTCATTATGTAGATCAGCAACTTCCTCTGCTGCTGCTGCTGTGTCAAGTAGTAGCAGAAGTAGCCTTGCATGACGACAAAGAAGCAGCAGCCTTGCATGGCTACAAAGCAGAAGCAGTCTAACATGGTGACAAAGTAGAAGCCGCTTTGTGTGGTGACAAAGCAGAAGCAGCTTTACATGGTGACCACGCAGAAGCAGCTATGCATGGTGACAAAGCAGAAGCAGCCTAACATGGTGACAAAGCAGAAGCAGCCTAACGTGGGTGACAGAGCAGAAGCAGCTTTGCATGGTGACAGAGCAGAAGCAGCTTTGCATGGTGACAAAACAGAAGCAGCTTTGCATGGTGACAAAACAGAGGCAACTTTGCATGGTGACAAAACAGAAGCAGCTTTGCATTAGATATTCAATAAATACAATGAACATTATTTTGTTTCAAGCTTCTTCTTTGGATAATAATAATACTATTATATACTGGTAGATGTGATATCAGCAACTTGTAGTGAAATGTATTATATAAAAAGAATGGTTTACCAGAAAAGTTTTGTTTTTTAAGTGCTTTATATAATCCAGGGTTTCATTTAACTTACTTAGTTATCACTTCCTGCCAGACACTATCTTGTAACCTATGCAGAGAGATGGTCATATTGGCCGCTGGCCTTCCAGTGGCAGTGTCCAGCACATGACTTGTCAATGGATTGTCTGACATATTAACTTTTGACAGAAGTAGAGATGATGCCTGGAATATTAGTCCTTCAGTAAATACTGTAGAGTACAATTACTTTTTTTTTTTTTTTTTTTAGAAAAAATGGACAAAATTAAGATGAGTTGCAAGTTCAGGCTAAATGTTCTAGTTATGAGCACTATGGAAATTTTGTTATACTTATGGAAGGATAAGCAACTGACAAGACAGTTCTAGTGACAAAAGTATTTTATCTGAGATTCGTGAAAATGAAAATACAGTACAGATAGATATCTTTAAACTTAATAATAGCAATGATAACTTAGAAGCATTTAAAAAGTTATGCAGATAAAATCTTGTATTTAACAAGAAGACTGGTTTTAATTTAAAATTTTAAACAAATAATACAGTACCTTCGGATTTAGCAAATTTAACAACCTACGTATAGCCCAACACAGCTCGTCGAGTGGATACTGTATATATTGTTCAGTGCAGCTGGAACTTTTTAAATAAAATTTTCTAATAAATTTCATGAATAGCATCAACATACAATTTCAATAATTCCTTATGGAAAGGCAGATTGTCAGAAATGTAAAAAAATTTAATTTTTATCAATCTTTTTTTTATTTGTTATTTTATTTATATACACAAGAGCTCTTACATTCTTGTAAAGCCAGTAGTGCACATAGTGTATTGGGCAGGTCTTTAATTTAAATTTTCCCTGGAATATGATCTGCCAATCATTTAAGAACCAGGTACCCATTCACTGCTGGGTGACCAGAGGCGTACAGTTAAGGATTGGCACCTAGTCAATCCTTCCCAGCCAGGATACAAACCCATACCAAATCGCTCGAGAAGCGAGGGGTAAGTGGGTTACCACTGCGCCATGGGGACTGCTTACAAATAAATAAATAAATAAATATGTTTATTAAGGTAAGGTACATACATACAAGTGACGTTACATTAATGGATTGATATATAGATAGAGCTAGTACATACAATGCCTAAAGCCACTATTACGCAATGCGTTTCGGGCAAGAAAAACATTAATATCTAGAACTTAATACTAATTGAGCATAAAGAATAAAAAGTGTTTGAGAACAAATACAAATAAAGATAAAAAAAAGGGGGAACATGACTGAAAAAGCAGCACAAATACAATAGGATGACAAACAGTGTTGATTAAAAAAAAAAAAATAACAGACATGGGTTGACAATAGAGGAGTGAGGTAGGTTACAGGGAATTTATTAGGTAGTGTTTAGTTTTTATCTTAAACTGGTTGAGAGAGGTACAGTCTTTAACATGGTTGGGAAGGTCATTCCACATTCTGGGTCCCTTGATTTGTAGAGCATTTCTAGTTTGATTAAGTCGTACTCTAGGAATATCAAAACTGTATTTATTTCTGGTGTGGTGCTCATGGGTTCTGTTACAACCTTCAATGAAGCTTACCTTTACACTAAGAGAAATGTGTGGAATATTTCACATTTATCATACTTTTTTTTGTGTGCAAATATGTGAAGAGATGTTCCAACATTTGTGGTAAAGAAAAATAAACACATTTGGCAAAATCAAAAATTTTACAAAACACTTGATAGTAGAATGGAATCTTGAATAGGTCAGAATGGGTCCAGTTACAATTAACCCTTTCCATCATGGATACACTTCACTGATATTTTTTTTCTATAAATTTAAAAAGGTTTGAAGAAAGAAAAACAAAATCCCTTTTGCCAAGAGTATTTGAGCATCAGCAGAGATCACTGTTCTCCACAGCTGTAACAGTTCATCAGCCGACTACTGAAACAGCGCGCCACCAGTGTCAACACACTCATCACAGGGTAGCAAGCAAATGCTTCATATATAAATAATCGGCAATAGATCCTAAACTTCTACCCTATGCCTAACTATACACAGAACTTTAATATGTCCTAATATTAATACATAAATGAGAACAATCCTTTTTTTAATATACAATATATACAATTTATGAACACATCCTGCTAATTTAATGAGCCTGGCCTGCGGACATGATGGTGTAAATTTTTTATTCATAAAGTAGAGATTTGATGCTTGCATGAAATTATTATTGGACTTTATAAATGAGGATAGGCTGGCTAATACATAATAACCTGCCAATAATAGGTTTTCAAGAACCAGAAAAGAGCCTTGTCAAAGGCTTCAATACGCAAATTCCTGTTAGTAGGGTCCCGGTAGTAGTCGGGTTTCTTCTCAACTTACAATCAAGAATTCCGGGTTTGAACTCTGGACGGGACAGAAGCGGTTGGGCGCATCTCTTATCACCTAATGTACCTGTTCACTTAGCAGTAAATAGGTACTCAGGAATTAGCCAGCTAGTTGTGGGGTTGGATCCTGGGAAGGGTCAGTAATTTGACCCTGGGAAGGACCTCGATATAAGCCAAAGATACACTGTGTATACTTACTGCCAGCCTGTCCCTCGACAAAACAAATTATTACATTATGCCCAAAATGCTGTGCGTATTAGTAGATTTGGGCATAACATATACAAATCTAGAAATCCAACATTCTGCTTATAACTCATTGTATAAATAAACATTATCATTATCATATAAATTGACCATACCCCAGACTCCATGTATGACTAACCCGTCCTGTGAGATGGGGATGTTAGTTGAAACTCTTAGCTAGCTTTTTATGTACATTTTGTAATCCTCCATATAGAATAACGTAGCAGCACATTTCTGAACATATACATAAGTTTGTTAATTAACAAAAAAAATACCCCCTTATACAAGCTACCCAATCATTGCCCAATTTCTGCATGAACGTATTGTATAATAATAATAATAATAATAATTTTTATTTAGGTAAGGTACATACATAAAGAGATTTTACAAAGTTTGTTGGCTTTATAGATAGAGCTAGTACATACAATGCCTAAAGCCACTATTACGCAAAGCGTTTCGGGCAGGAAATAATTGTTATAATATAGGATATATAATATCCTATATTATAACAATAATAATAATAACAATATATATTCACAATAATGTGCGTACAGAGAACATACGAGTAATATGCAATTTCAGGGAGAGGAGTTACACATACTAATTACTAACTAAATAAATAAGTAAAAAAAACTAATGAAGCCACTATTACACAGAGCGTTGCCCGCAAACCTCTAAGTGCACTATTAACTAACCTTTCTTTTTCCTTCAAAATGATTCTGAATTACTTTGAGTCGAGAACATTCACAAGTCATCACTGGTGTATGCTGTCCTTGGCCCCTATACTGAGTGCCTGCGGGTGCCTGCAGGTGCCTCCAAGCAGCGCCCGCTCACCATGACGTGCTGTTAAGGGTCTACCTATGTTCTTACCTTTTCAGACACACAATTTGTTCGTTTCGTATATATATATATATGATTTGGTCAATTAAATCCATAATGTAATGTTATTAATAGTTAAAATCTCCTATTTAACAGGCATATAGTTATTAAATGAAGTTAAGTGATGTGATAGGAGATAATCCGGGATTCATAAGAACGCCGCCGACCAGCGTCAACTACAATTGTACACAGTTGAAGGCTCACAAACACGATCGAACGCACAAAACACTAGACTTTAGATAGTTTTTGGGTAAATTCCTATTTACATTTACTGTGTGTTAGTTTTACTTGTATATAATAGTATGTATTAAAGGAAAACGCCTAACACGTAATAAAAACCAGAAGTCAGAAGTCAGAAAAAAAAGTCAGAAGCAACATGCCTTTCTCCACGTCTCCACCTGTCTTTAAATATCGCTTTGATTTATGAATTTATTTATTTATTTATTTATTTATTTATTTATTTATTTATTTATTTATTTATTTATTTATATATTTATTTATTTATTTATTTATATGCAAGAAGGTACATTGGGGTTAAGAGAGAACATGTATAGGAATGATGTTGATTTTACAATCTTTGTAAGAGTTCATTTCATATGGTCTCCATCTCATGTTGGCCTCCGAATGTATGATAGAGCTGATACGTTAGCCAAAGACTCTGCATTTAAAAAAGACGTTGAGTGTAACCTTGGATTGTCAATGAGCAATCTGAGAGCAGCAGTACACCGAGAACTTCAACAAGATCTTGTAGATCTGAGGCAAAGTGAAATCGACACCAGTAATTCCATCTATCATCATACTATCATGCAAGAGGAGCCACACATCTATGGATCATCCAATAAAATCAGCAGACTTCTAGATGTTACTACTGCTCGGCTTAAACGCGGTTACAAGTATCTCTGGGAATTCTCATTATCCGCCGATGTAGACCTGACCAAATGTAAACTGTGTCAACAAAATTATTCGCACACCCTCCGTCACTATGTGATGGAGTGCGAAAAGATACGTGAATTCAGAGACAATTCTATAACGAATGTTCCAACGATTTTTTTTATTAATTAATACATGAGGTACATCTGCATTTGTGCAGCTACCCTAGACAGGCGATGAGTCACAATAACGTGGCTAAAGTATGTTGACCAGACCACACACTAGAAGGTGAAGGGACGACGACGTTTCGGTCCGTCCTGGACCATTCTCAAGTCAAAAAAAAATCAAAATCAAATCAAATGTTTATTTAGGTAAGGTACATACATACAAGAGATTTTACAAAGAGTGATTGATTTATAGTTAGGGCTAGTCCATACAATGCCTAAAGCCACTATTACGCAAAGCGTTTCGGGCATGAAAAACTTAAATGACTAAAGCTTAATACTAATTAAGGATAAAGAGTAAAATGAAAACATGGAATGAAAACATAACTGAAAAAGCAGCACAAATACAATTCTGTCGACAAACAGCGCTCTTTAAAAAAAACAGACATTGGTTGACAATAGAGGGGTAAGGTAGGTTACAGGGAATTTATTAGGTATAGCTTCGTTTTTATCTTAAACTGGTTGAGAGAGATACAGTCTTTAACATGGTTGGGAAGGTCATTCCACAATCTGGGTCCCTTGATTTGTAGAGCATTTCTAGTTTGATTAAGTCGTACTCTAGGAATATCAAAACTGTATTTATTTCTGGTGTGGTGCTCATGGGTTCTGTTACAATCTTCTATGAAGCTTTTGAGGTCAGGATTGGCATTACAGTTTAGCGTTTTATATTATGTATAATACACATGAGAGAATGTGCAGTGACTTAATGTCTAACATATTCAGAGACTTGAGTAGGGGTACCGAGTGATGTCTGGGGCCAGAGTTGGATATTGTCCTAATAGCAGCTTTGTGTTGAGTAATTAGAGGACGTAAATGATTTTGGGTAGTAGAACCCCAAGCACAAATACCATAGTTGAGATATGGATAGATGAGGGAGTAATAGAGAGTCACCAGGGCAGGGCGGGGTACATAATATCTGATCCTAGAAAGAATGCCAACAGTTTTTGAAACTTTTTTTTATATATTTAGAATGTGTCCCTGGAAATTCAGCTTGTGGTCAATGAGAATGCCAAGGAATTTGCCATCTAATTTGTTACAAATTTGGGTATTGTTTATTTTGAGATTTATTTGATTAGAGGATTTATTGCCAAACAGAATATAGAAAGTTTTGTCAATGTTAAGGGTGAGTTTGTTGGCAGTTAGCCAAAGATGGACTTTATTTAGCTCAGTATTTACTGTGGCATTTAGAGCAAGGGGGTCAGGACTGGAGTAAATGAAGGTTGTGTCGTCAGCAAAAAGAATTGGTTTGAGGTGTTGGGAGGCATTTGGAAGGTCATTAATGTAGATGAGAAAGAGGAGAGGGCCAAGTATGCTGCCCTGAGGAACACCAATGTTGATGGGTAGGGTGGGAGAAATTGAATTATTCACAGAAACATACTGGAGCCTGTCAGTAAGGTAGGATTTGAGGTATTGCAGGGAGTGTCAATTGTGAGAATGGTCCAGGACGGACCGAAATGTCGTCGTCCCTTCACCTTCTAGTATGTGAACTGGTCAGCTACCCTAAACTATATGAAGTGGAGTACAGTGTGTCAAAAATATTAACTAGGTGATGCTAAAAAATCCCCATCACACAGGATGGTTAGTCATACAAAGGCATGTGATAGGCAGTCTGCACTGACAGACTCCGGATGCATTTTGAGGATATCATCAACACAAGAGTGAATAAGGTAGCAGTGGTAATAAAAGTCCCCATCTCGCAGGATGGTTAGTCATACAGGGCCATATGTTTAGTAGCCTGCACTGGCAATTTTGGGTACACTGTGAGGATGTGTAAATATATCATTCAAAATGATCTGCTATCAGAAATTTTAGCTAAATATCCCCAGTTTGCTAACTGTAGGTAGTAACTAAGTGACTGTAACCTATCCACCGCTGCCCACTGGATGGGGGGGAAGGGGTGCAGGACAAACATATCAACTGTGACACTAACTCTCCACATATGTCAGGTGCTCAATTTAGAAACTATACTTGTGATCGATCTCGAACCCATTGATGATGTGACGACTTATACTGAAATTTGTAACTAGCTCATCAAAATTGTAACTTGCTTAGCTAAATGAATTGTGGGGTTCAGTCCCTGAGCCCATTATGTGCCTCTGTAACCCTTTCCACTACCGCCCACAAGATGGGTATGGGGTGCATAATAAATGAACTGTGTGTGTTGTAAAGCCACTAGCACGCATTAGCGTTTCGGGCAAGTCCTTAAACTAACAGATAATTTACAGTAGAATTGACAACAAATGTTTATAGGTACTTTACAGCTCTACTTTACAAGTACAGGTGCAGGTAATTTTAAGCAGATAACTTACAGTAAATTACAGTAATAAATTACAGTTCCCCAATATTAGTACTTAAGACATATCTTCAAACATCGTCGTCCCTTCACCTTCTAGTGTGTGGTCTGGTCAAAATAAATTACAGTAAGACTTACAATTTTTTTTTACAGGTCAACAAAAATAAAGATTAGAATAATAGACAATGATAACAAAACACTATGTTTCAAACTCACACTGTATCTTACACTTTATCTTTAAGTTTAAGTTAAGACATATCTTTACCAGGTTAATCACCTCTGTCAGTTTATATTGTAGTTACATCACATTACTTTTTATCACATACAACACATAGCCAAAAAAGTCTCAAAAACGGTCGGTATACCTTTCTAAAATCAGATATGTGTTGTACTCTGCTCTCCTCTCATTATACTACGCGCTAATCTATCCCTATCTTACATACGATATCTGTGCATGGGGTTCAACCACTGCAAATTACCTCAAGTCCATCATCACCCAGCACAAATCTTCTATCAGAACTATGAGAAACTCTGTCTTCAGACAACACACAGCCTCCTGTGTTTAAGTCCCTTAACATGCTATAAACATACACTCACTCCACACATTCTCTTGTGCTATTTACATGTACAAAACCTTGCTCCTATATGCTCTGAAATCTGAAACTTTTCCTTGATAGATGTAATAGAACCCTTGAGCACCACACCAGAAATAACTATCTTTTTGATATACACAGAGTCAAACTAAATCTGTGCCAACATTCCATGCAAATAACAGTACCCAGTCTATGGAACTCACACCCCAATGAATTAAATAATTGTCCAACTTATGCCTTATTCAAAAGTAAAACCAAAAAGTAACTAATTTTATCCTCATAGTTTCCTTCCTTGTGCTTCAAACTCACACTAGCTGTAATTATGCTACCCACTTCCCCAATATTAGAACTTAAGACATACATCTTCACTATTGTAATCACCTCTGTCAATTTATATTGTAGTTGTATGTTGATATAAATATTTGCTACAATATATCTATTCATCTTACACGATCTTTTAGATAAAAGTTCTGTCGGAAACGCGTTGCTTGTTAGTGGCTTTGCAAGAAGGTAAAAATTACCAATATTATGGAATCTCACAAACTCATTGTACCTTGAAGAGGAGGTACTCATCGGAGGTACAGGGGGGAAGACACCCATTGTACCTCATTGTACTATAAATAAATAAATAAATAAATAAATAAATAAATAAATAAATAAATAAATAAATAAATAAATAAATAAATAAATAAATAAATAAATAAATAAATAAATAAATAAATAAATAAATATGTATGTGCATGTACTTAAGAAGAGGTTCCATCTATTGCGGCAGAATTTAACATAAAGCTCACCAAGTAATGATATCACAGGTTCAGCCCGTCTTTCAAAAATGGAGAGGTAAATATAACAGCCCCATAAGTGCAGGAATTGTAATTATTTACACCTAGTATTAAATCGTACTGTCAAATATATTGCGAATATTTGAGTTTACCTGAAAAGCTGAATAGAAAACCACGGCCTAACCTAACCGTTAGGTTAGGTTAGGTCGTGGTTTTCTATTTTTA